TGGTCTTGAAGCACCTTGCAGACCTTGGCGGCTGCCTTTGCTATGGGACCTCACAGACCAGCTGTTTGTTCTAAGGAACAGCAGCACATGCCCTTCTATGGAGCCTGTCCGCCAGGGAGCCAACACTCTCTCTTCAGTTGCTTAACCAAAGGCTGTTTTCCCAGCCTGCAAGCCCTCGTCCAAATACAGCCAGAGGTACAGACGCCCTGATGTAGCCCCAAGGAGGCCATGTGCCCTAGTCATTTTCACGACCCCACGCATGTGTATTTTGCAGAGGCCAGGGATGGAGCTTTTCAAGTGTACTTGGGGGAGGCAGCTCTGAGCTCACAGATGGGAGCCTCCAGGTGGGGCCAGAGTTCGCTGAGCTTGTTGGGGCCTCCTTACCCTGGGATCACTCTTCCGACTACCTGCCAGCCACACTTGTGCTCTGGGCTGCTGTTGTCCTCTGGCTTGAGCAGACCAGACAAACTGGTCAGCTCCCAGTTGAGAGGCTGGAAAGGCCCTTCAGGCTGCTTAGCCCTGAAACTGTCGTGCAAGCACTTGGATATTCCTCTGGCTGCGTGTCACCCTGTGACTCCCAAGGGTTCACCCCAGCACCTGAGCTCACACTCCTGTGGACTGTGTTGGGTTACTAAGCTTGGAGTATGTTTTAAAGTATTCCTGCTGACTCAGGCCTCCCGTGTGCTGGGATTATAGGTATGGCCACGGTACCTGGTTCCTGGCGAAACCACTTCTTTTTCATTCAGCCATGCTTTCTTGAAGAAAAAAAAGACAAGGTCTCATGTAGCCCAGGCTGGCCTCTCTAGGTAGTCAGTACATGTATGTGTGCATGTATGTCTGTGTGAGGATATGGGATCCCCTGGAGCTGGAGTTATAGAAAGTTGTGAACTGCTCTGTGGGTGCTGGGGTTTGAACCCTGGTCCATCCATCTGGAAGAACAACCAGTGCTCTTAATCACTGAGTCACCTTTCCAGCCAAGCCTTCAGTTCTTGAATGTGAGATTCATCATGTCTCCATCTCCCAAGCTCTGCTATCACTGTGCCACCTGCCCCTCCTTCTTTACTAATATGGCAGAGATCCCTTCCAATGCCCTTCCAAAATAAGGACCTTAATCTGCAGACACTTAAAGGATAAAATTGAGCTCTGGAAGAAGAGACCTGGTTGGGTAGTGAGGCAAATCCTCTACGTTACTGAACAACCTGGAACCATGGAGGCTGGAGACCCCAAGGTGCCACGGGCATGGGCACCAGCCAGGAGAGTGAGCCAGGGGTGCTTTTAATCGACAGCTAGCTTTGCTGAAGACAGGCCATTCCACAGAAGTCATCGGCAGCCATGAGGGGCCCTGCTTTGCCCTTGTCTGTCTTAATTCCCATTTGGGCATCAGTTTACTTTAGTGAAAAAAAAAACACCCAACCTACAAAATTTCAGGATTGGCATCCACGGTCAGGCAGCCTTTGTTTCTGAAGGCTGCCGGGGCTCGGAGCCAGGTTCTGTGAGGACATGGTGCCTCTGTGATCTAAGCCTAGGGGTGATGGCCTCTCTCTGAAAGAACAGCTTTGAGATGAGGCCAGTCTCTGTATAGGCTCCACGGTCTCTCTGGGCCTTGCTTGTTTTGTCTGACTTACCTCCTGGTTTCTGCAGATACCCCAGCTGTTCCTCAAATGAAAGCCTGACTCCAAAACTGAGCCAGGATGGGTTAGGGGGGAATCAGGTAGCTTTTCCCTCCCCCTGCTGGCTTTAGTTTATTTTTATTTAAAAAACAAAACAAAAACAAACAAACAAACAAACAAACAAACAAAAAAACAACAAGGTCTTATTATGTAGTCCTGACTGGACTTTTTTGTTTCTTTGTTTTTTTGTTTGTTGCTTGTTTGTTTAAGACAGGGTTTCTCTGTGTAGTCCTGGCTGTCCTGGCACTAGTTCTGAGGAGACTGAGTCCACCTGCCTCCCAAGTGCATCAACAGAATATTTTTAAGCTAAACTCAGTGCTCAGGGCTGCAGGGATGGAACCCATTTCCAGGATCTGAGCTGCAATTAGGACTTTAATTAAGCTTTAATTAGGATTTTCCGAGCAACATCCTGGGGGAAACATCTGGAATAAGACGGGGTATGATGAAGAGTCCACATAGCAAGGCTCTTTGCAAGGCCCTCTTAAGAGAGGGAAGCTCTCTCAAGCACGGCTTGAAGCTGGGTGTGGCAGTTCACACTACAATCCTAGCACTTGGAAGTGGTAGGATGAAGCAGGAGAGTTGTCTAGAATCGCAGGCTAGCCTGGGCTACAGACCAGCCTGTAAGACTGGCTTTAAAAACAAAACAGAACTTTTTTTTTTTTTTTTTTTTTTTTTGAGACACAGCTTTTCTATGTAGCCTTGGCTGTCCTGGACTCACTTTGTAGACGAGGCTGGCTTAGACTTACAGAGATCCTCCTGCCTCTGCCTCCAGATCCCACCTGTGCTGGGATCACAGGTGTATGCCACCACTGCCCAAACAACTTTTTTTTTCTATCTTTGTTTTTTTGTTTGTTTTCTGAGACAGGGTTTCTCTGTGTAGCCCTGGCTGTCCTGGCACTAGCTCTGTGAACCACTGAGGTCCACCTGCCCCCAAGTGTGCCAACAGAACATTTTAAAGCTAAACTCACTGCTCAGGGCTGCAGAGGTAGAACCCATTTCCAGGACCTGAGCTGCAAGGTTCACACAATTACACAGGACATGACCTTCTCAGGACCCCTGAGCCAGTTCGTTTGGCTCTTTCTCTCATTCCAAGAGCACCTCTGCTCCCCCGCAGGGATGCCAGGTGTCCCAGGCCAGGCCTGGCCTGATGGGACTATTGGCAGGAGATGTGCGAGGGATTCTGAAGCTTCTGCAGGGGACAGAGGTTTACCATCTTGACCTCCTGAACAGCCCGGTTTCTCCTCCAAGCCCTTCTGACGTCTGCACACATCAGTGTGGAGCAGATCTAGAAGGAAGGATGGACAGGCGGATGGACGAATGGGCTGGTGGATCACTCAGCTTGTGCTTTGAGAGTTGTTTGATAGTCCACCGGAGGCAGGAGGATGGCCCCTGTTTGGTCTGTGAGTAACAGAGTTGGGGGATGTTATGCAGGTTGTAAATCTGGCCACTCCTGAGTCCCCCGAAGCCACTGCAACATCCTGAGCTAGCTGCTGAAAGAAAGATACCGTGAGGAAATGTGCCAAAAACATGTCCACCTGAATTCTCTTGGATCCTCCAAGGCTCGCAGCTTCATGTTCTGTTGCTTATGCTAGCAGCTTTGATGTCTCCATGGATCGTCTATGAGAATGTAGAAAAGTGTTCAAAACACTGCTCAGAGGGTGGCAAAGTGTCTTCTTAGGCTCCGAAGTCAGCAGGTCCCAAAGCAGGCACCTCCAAAACTCCCCACAGCAATGTACACTGAGATGGAGCGTGGCTGGCCTGGCCCAGCCTTCTGAGCTTTCTCAGTCTACCCTCCAGCTCTTTGGGCTGGGTGAACCAGGAGGCCACCCTCTCCTCGGAGCACCTGCCCCCTTCCCGGTCATCTTCCCAATCTGACCAGCCCACCTTTCACACCCCCGGAGGAGGAAGTGCACAGCTTCCCCCTCTGATGCCAGGGGTCAGCTCTGCTGAGGTGTGCAGACGCTGGGACCCGCAGAAGTGGAGAACTGTCAGAGCACAGAATGTCCTTGTATTAAAGATTGTCAGATGTGGATTTTGTATCCTATTCCCACGTGCCCCGAATGAATGGGCCACCTCCGGTACAGCCCATTCCAGAATGTATCCTCTGTAGAAGGGCTGATCCTGGCTTCTGTTCATGGCAAGCTGCCTCTACCCATCATGTGATTTGAAGGCAAGGCAAGGCCCCCTCTTTCTCTTCTTATCTGAAAGCGATGGGCAGAGAAAGGAGGACTGAACCGTGCTGCAGATCTAGTCACTCGGAATGTATATTTTTAACTAATTTGCCCCAAGCAGGAGATGTTCTTTGTCTTTGCAAAGATGTGGACAGAAAGAGCTACGAAGGTGGGCCAGGGAAGTCCTCTGGTGGGCACATGGCGCTTACTCAGAGCTGACATCAGGAGGTCTGGCGGAGCATTAGAACCCCCCAAGGAAGCATGAGGACACTCCAAACCTGGTGATGACCTCGGACATCTCCAAGAGGAAAAAAAAAAAAAAACATTGAATTTGGCCAACTAGTCCCTCCTAAAGAAGGGCTTCTCTGTCAAACCTAACAGGTCCACTCTGTCTGTTGTTGTTGGGGTTGGTTTGGCTTTTGTTTTGTCTTTAGAAGGGATCCCCTCAAAAGGTACAGGAGGAAAGTTCCGGTGAGTGAAAAAACTGTGGCCTCCAGCAGGGGATCTTGGCCCTTAAGACAGTGGCTGGGCAGCTTGCTTGCTGGTCTCTCTAGGAAAGCCAAGCCCGTGACACTCTCAAAGCTTCCCTGCCTGCTGAGCTGAGCACCTGGCTGGGGAGTGTTCGAGGCCCCCGGAGTCCGAAGGAGTAGGCCGTCTCTCCTCCGGGGCAGACGTGAGAGCCAGAGCAGGCCCTGCTGGGCCAACAGGCGGCTGGAGCCATACGAAGTGCATTAAGTATTAATAATTTCCAGTTGTTTGCTCGTCCGTCTCCCGCCCCCTCCCCGCCCCCACCGCACCGCACCCCAGGCCCTGCCTCTGCAGGCTGGGACTCGGTTCTGGGCTGCCAGATCTAGAGATATTAGCACCTCCCAGGGGCCGGGGGACAGGGCAAGGGGCAAGAGTGGCCACAGCCCAGGAACAGTGTGCGGGGCGGACGGAGCCCCGCAGCCTAGCCAGTGGGCGGCGCGGCTCGCCGGGGACCCCCCGTCGCGGGAAGCTCTGCGCCCGGGCGAGCTGGGCGGCGCGCCGCGGGAGCGCAGCGGCCCCTGGCGCAAGGCCTCTCGGCGGTCACCGCGGCGGGACCAGCCCCCGAGGCGGGGCGGAGGGCGGGGTCTCGAGCGAGCGCGGCCGCCGGCGACACCCGGACAACGCGCCGGCGGCTGGCAGGGAGGGCAGCCCGGAGGGCAGCGGCCCGGGCCCGCGTGCGCAGCCTCTCTCGCTCTCCAGCAGCGCGCCGGCTGTGCCCCGGCCCCGCACGGCACGCAGCCATGGTGGGCCGGCTGAGCCTGCAGGATGTCCCCGAGCTCGTGGACACGAAGAAGAAGGGCGACGGCGTCCTGGACAGCCCGGACTCGGGGCTGCCCCCAAGTCCTAGCCCCAGCCATTGGGGACTCGCGGCGGCGGCGGGCGGAGGTGGGGAGCGCGCTCCGGTCCCGGGGGCGCTGGAGTCCGACGCGGCGGCGACCCCCGCGATCCCGGTGAGTTGCCCCGTGCGCCGACTTCTCCTTGCCCCGGCCCACCCGCAGCCCGCTCCGGGGACACCCCGGCCCTCGCCGTCGGTGCAGCCGTCCGCCCGTCGGGACGGCGTGGCCATCGCCGGGAGCCGGGGCGGGAGCGAAGCGAGAGAGCCTGGCCAGCTGGAGCCAGTGGCTGGAAAATTGTCATCGCCTGGGAGGCGCGGGAGCCCCGGGAGAGGCGAGCCGCGGTCTCCTCCCTTCGAGGTGGCGGCCCCCGAGGCTGCCAGGCTGCGGCTCGACCGCATTCCTGCCGGGGCGGGCTGGGTGGGGCTCCCGGGACGCGGACAAGGAACCCGGCCCTCCCCACCCGGGGGCCCACGCCCCGCGGCTTTGCTCCCAGGGCGGCCTCCCTCTGCAGGGACCCGGGAAAGGGGTGTGCTCTGGGCTCCCGGCGATGGGCGGACCAGCCTCTGGGGGACCTTCTGAGGGGTTACACCGCGAGCCTTCAGGGTCCTGGTGTGCCCTTGTCCCGAATACCTAACCCAGGCAGTGTTTGCGCTTAATGAGATCAGCGTCCTCCAGGTGGCCAGGGCTTTGGAAGTATTCATCCTTTTACTGCTTTTACTTTAAACTTTTTGCAAGAAAAACACGAAGTCTGTTTTGCCCTGGGATCTGTTCAGGTGGTGGTGTTCAGGCAGAGCTTGGGAGAGACCACATCCTGCCTACGGTTGAAGCTCAGAGTAGGACTTAGGGATGGCTGTTGACCGCGCCTCCCGTGGGGCCATCGGTGACAGTGTTATTCCGAAGGACCACGGTGGCCTTTGGGGCCTGTGGGGCCTTCCTGACCTCCTGACCCTGACCCTGACCCTGCCCCAGCAAACACCGCCGCCGCTTCCCTTCCAAGGTGAAGCTTGGTTCAGCTTGGCCTTTTAGCCTCCTCTTAGCCTGCCCTGACCACGGACCAGACACTCCCTGGTGCTTCTGATGTCGCTCCTTACACCTGACCCCTTAACTTTTTCTAAGTCCGAATGGCCCTTCCATGCTCCACTCTGTCCCTCTGGGAGCTTTCCCAGACCTGTTGGAGAACCTGTGGCAGGGCGTGCGCATCTTCAGTGTCTCCTTGTGAGTTTATCTCTCATCCCTGCTGCGGACCCACCTCATCTCCCTCTCACACCTGGACGCCCCCGGACTATCTGTCTGGGGGTGGAGGCCAGGAATGCCGGAGGAGGGAAACCAGTAGGGACACCTGGAAGACAGTTGTCTTGGGAGTGTGGGAGAAGGCTGTGGCCACACCTCATGCACTCCCTCCATCCACTGACCTTGGCTTGAACTATATCCCCTCCCCCAACCAGGACTCAGTGAACTCCTTCCTAGCCCTGAAGCAGGAACCCCCTCCCCCCATTCTTTCTGCTTTTGCATCTGTCCTGGTAACATAGCGAAGATCTCAGAGCCAGCCTTCTAGAAACATCTGCCTCCTTCTCTGTCCTGGGGGTGGGACTGCCACTTCCACGCCCCGGCACAGATGCAGCTCTTACTCTTAAATTAAGCCACGAAAATGACAGATCTCCGAAAACCAGAGAGCACAAAGGGCTGCCAGGTCCCTCCGCTCTGTGTTTATCTCTGCGCCGAAGCACAGAGGGCCAGATTCCAGCAAACTGGAATCCACAGAGTCACCTGAGTGTCCCTGAAGAGTCCAAAGCTGCACCCTGCACACTGAGCTTTCTGGCTATCGGAGACGGACGTGGAGCAAAGGCACCTCTGAGCTGCACAGTCCCAGTTACAGGAGCCCTCTGTCTTGGATGGCTGCTGCTCTGCCAACCCTAGAGGCAAAGGAGGTGGGGAAGCAGGGGTGAATCTTTACTTTTAAGATATCCTGCAAGTGTTTTCCTTTGGCATTAGTCTTGACCTTCCGCTAATTATTGGTGAGACAACCACATGGGGGCTGGGGGCGCTCTGCATGGTTGAGGGTTCTGAAGAGTTAAGCTTGAACTGTGGGCCTTTCTCACCACAGGGCTCTGCAGCGGCCTCTGGCTGTGGCCTCAGTCCTGCTGTGGAATTCATCATGTCAGCTTCCTCTTCTGGCTTTCATAAACCTCCGGTGATAGGAAGGGGGGCCCCCCTTACCCCATCATGCAGATAAGGACCTAGGATGTGTGACAGGATTCTACTGAGCACACAAAGCACATCTAGGCCATGCCCATCACTGCAAAAGAAGTGGGGGCAGGATTAATCTAGGATTTGAACCCCCTACCTTCTGGTACCCTCTAGTGCAATTTCCATGCCATGGGCCAGCTCTATCCTTTGTAGGGCCAGATTGTGGTCGCCATAGGGCTCTCACAGGAGGCGCCAAGTCTCATCAAGCCTTCGGGGGAGTGCATGCTTTGGCCCATCAGTCATAGCTCTAACCTTTCTCTCCCCTCTCCCCAAGAACCCAGCCTCTCTGACCCACTTGCTGGCTGCCGGCTGCTCACCACGACTCTGTCCCCTGTCCTTCGGCGAAGGAGTTGAGTTTGACCCCTTACCACCAAAGGAAATAAAGTGAGTATAACCTACCCTGATATTATTTCTTAAAATTCCAAGTATGATTGCTTGCTGTTTTAAAAAGTTAATTGTGAGTCGGGCGTGGTGGTACACACCTTTAATTCCAGCACTTTGGGAGGCAGGGCAGGTAGATTGCTGTGAGTTCAAGGCCAGCTTGGTCTACAAAGAAGAGTCCAGAACAGTCAACGCTACACAGAGAAACCCTGTCTTGGAAAAAAAAAGTTAATTATGAAAACGCACCAAAGACTATTAACAGTTTGATTTATGTTCTTGTACTCCAGCTCATTAAGTATAAAGATGCTCCATTTACTTAGGTGTGGTCTTGCTATGCTGGGTGTGATGGCTGGCCCAGGCAGTGGCCCAGGCTGACTTCAAGCTTAGGGTCGTTTTGTCTCAGCCTCCCGAGTGCTAGAATTACAGGACTGCAGCACCTCAGCTAGTGTAGACACTCTCTGTAAAGCTCTGCCATGCGCTCTGTGCGTGTCACAGACTGCGCCCTCAGGTGCTGAAGATTTTGTTGGATATTAATTCTTCTATCCAGAAGCCGCTTGTTCCCTCTATCCAACGTCAAGGTGCTGTGTCCCTGCCTCACGTGATGTCACTGAGCAAGTGTTCGGGAATGACCTCACCCAGGATTATCAGGGGCAAAGAGCTGTCTTTTCATAAAAAGTTCCACGTTTGGAGACTGTAGGTTTTGTAGCTGCAGTCTGAGTTGCCTGAACACAAAGGGGCCTTTGATGTGGAACAGAGGGAGGCTCATCCCTGTAGAGGTGAGCTGGTAAGGCTCTTATTCCCCTGGAGCTTATATTTCTGACAAAACTGGGACATGACTTTGTGACACTGGCTCCCATCGGCGTCTTGTGACTCCAGGGAGAAGAGGCACAATGCTGGCCCTCACACGTGATGCTTGTAGAGATGCTGATATCTGTGACACTGCAATATTAATGTAGCCACGTCGGCACTTTGACGATTAAACCCCCACCAGCCAGGAATGGGGTGCACACCTACAGCCCCAGCCAGCATTCGGGAGGCTGAGGCAGGAGCATGAGGAAGTCTAGGGTAGGCTGGCCTACTTTGCAAGACCTCGACCCAAAAGAGTAAAATAATTGATGGTGATGGTGATGATGGTGATGATGGTGGCGATGATGAAGATGGTGATAGCGATGATGATGGTGGTGGTGGTGGTGTTGATGCAGCAACTGAGCGATGTAAATGGCAAGTCATTTTGTGGCTATCCGGATTGTAGTTGTCTCTCATTGATAGGGTCAGATCCCTGGGTCTCCCAGGGTTGGGAGCAGGCCACACTCTGAAGCCATGGCTACAACCAAGTTTCTAGAACCAGTGTTCAGCAGTTCCGGAATTCCTTCTCCTTTCACTCAAGCCCCTTCCTCCCACACAGCGGCCAGCTCCAGCTCGTTCCATGAAACAGCTGTGCTCAGGGATGGACGCCTTCAGAGAAGAGTGACGTCACCGCATGTTGCCTCAGGCTTCTGTTGCTGTATGAGCACAAATAGCAACTTTTGGGGTTGGGGAGACCATGAGGAGCGCTGCTTACTGGCTTGTTCCTCCACGCTTGCTCACTTTGCTCTCTCATGCACCCTGGGAAAGGGACAGCACTGCCCACAGTGGCTTGCACCCTTACACATAAATCACCAACCACAAAAATGCTCCACAGGGTTGCCTACAGGCTAAAGTGATGGGACCATTTTCTCAACTGAAGTTCCTCCTTCTCAGATGACTCTGGCTTGTATCAAGTCATTAAAAAAAAAAAAGTAACCAGTAAGCAGCACACATGAACATGTTAGCATCCATGTATGCACGTTAAGAAGCCGCTATGTCATCTGACGGGGCCTCGGCCATACATGTGGCCAGTCGTTGGCCAAAATGTCTCTGTGCTGCGTGTGACTGTCACTCCCGACAGCACTGGCTGTAAGGAGACACTTCGAGCCTTTTGCAAAGTGTAGGCAAATTGTTAGACTAAGGGCTCCCAGCTGAGGCGAGCTCAGGGCTGCCGTCTGCTGTGGGGAACGGTGAGCTCACGGGAAACTTTGGAAGCCTGTGTGCTGCGATTCTATCCCAGCTCAGGCCTGGGGGGTTAGCTTAGGGGCAGAGTTCCTGCTTTGCCTCAAGAGCATGGTTTCTATCCTCAGCCTTGAAAATCCATCAGTTTGTCCATTTATCCATCCACCCACCCACCCTGCTCTGTCATTCAGGGTCACTGTGACCTTCATTTCTACATCTTGCTTTCTTCTTCCAGGGTCTTTGGGAAGATCCAGTTAGGTCCTGCGACAAAGGTGATGGGAGTATTAAGCCTCTCATAAAGTACTCCCGTAGACTGGGCTGCTTCTCCTTGATGCGGCCAAGTTCAGTGTTGGCAGCCCGGGAGAGATGAGAGGTCACACTTGGGACCCCATGCTCCTAACTCAGAGGACAGCGTCATGCTGGCTTGTGTCACCCACAGGTATACTTCCTCAGTCAAGTATGACTCTGAGCGACACTTCATCGATGACGTGCAGATGCCGCTGGGCCTGGCGCTGGCTTCCTGCAGCCAGACAGTCACCTGTATCCCCAATTGCACTTGGCGAAACTATAAGGCTGAAGTCCGCTTCCAGCCCCGCCACAAGCCCGCACGCTTCCTCAGCACCACCATCATCTACCCCAAGTACCCCAAGACCATCTACACCACCACTTTGGATTACAACTGCCACAAGAAGCTGCGGAGGTTTCTGTCCAGCGTGGAGCTCGAGGCCACGGAGTTCCTGGGTAGTGACGGGCCCTCAGATGGATGCTGACCACAGCTAGCTACGTGGGGTTGGACCAGCTGGTCATACACTGCCCTGGTCCCAGAGCGCCCTGGACGGGTGGGGAGCAGTGCTCTTGCACATCACCCCAGCCCAGCGGAGTCTAACCTGGAGATGCCTCCAAGCCTAGCCGGGCCAAGAAGATGCTTTAAAAATCACTGCATCTTGTAATAATAGAGAAACTCAGCTTCGTTTAAAATTTTTCCAGATACTTTTTTTTTTTTTTTAAGGAGCATGTATGTATGTATGTTCTGGTTGGTTGATGCAGTTTCCCCAAAGTCTCAGTTGGATGAGGAAAAAAAAGATAGGCAGAAACAAAAAGAAAGGACAGTGACATCAGGGCAGGCTGAGGTGAGCTGGTCCTCCCATTTTCTGATGAAGAAAGTCGGAAAGTCTCTGGAATAGAGAAAGTGAGTTAAGACATGTTTATTGCTGGGGGAGAAAAAGTTAACCCAGGTAGATTGTGACGCTGGTGTGTGCTCAGTCTGACCTGGACCATTTTCTGTTTCCGCTTCTGTTTGTTTTCCCTGTTAATCCAAAGTCTTAGGTTTATCAAAACTCTTTTTCGTGATATTAGGGGAGAAGAACAAAAACCACAAAAAGAGATTCTTTAAAACATGAACTCTCTGCCTGCTGTGCCTCTGCCGGGGGTAAGCAGCTGGCCCGCCCAGCGCACCACAGCCGCCTGGTTCCCGATGGCTGGTTCCCGGCACAGGCTCTGGGCAGCCCTCGCATGCCTGGCATCCGGTAAACACCTCCCTGGGCTTGTGTAACTCTGCTCATAGGTATTTTGGAGTTTTGAAATACTTTCCCATTTTTTCACAAGGCAAAATGCAGCAGAGGGATCTCTCTGAGAGGAACAGCATTTTGAAAGCATACTTTGTTAAAACACGTTTTGGGGGTGCGTTGTGGGAAAGGTTTCCACTGTGGGCTGCCGCTGCCGATAGGAAGAGGCAGATTTGGATGTGACTCGGATCATTGTGATTAAATGATGGACTTATTCTTAGGACTTTGATAGTGTCAAAACTGGGAGGAACAGGGTTAAACCCAAAAAAGCAAGAAACAGTGCTTACAGTGCTTAAGCTAAGATGAATTCAGGAACAGGGAGTGACAATTCAAACCCCACAACCTTGCCACTGTGGTGATGGGAGACGGTTCTTTTGTACGACTGTATGCTTGGAAGTGGCTATCATGGAGTCGGGCTTGACTCAAAGGTTTTTCCTAGCCAACTTCGAGAGTCTGGCTGAACCAGCTACAGCAGCAGGCACAGCCCTGGCCCCGAGGGTGGTATGCACCAGGCTGGCCCCTGCTTCCCTGCCCCTACCCCAGGCCTGGCCCTTGCTTCCTAGAACCCCCTGCCAGGCCACAGTGCGGAGTAAAGGAAGCGGCAGGCTGATTCTTATTCCAGCATTGGAAAGAACAAGCCGTACACATTTCCTTTTGACACATCCAAATCATGTCGAGTGGGTGCCAGAGGTTCTGCCTTCTGTCGGATCTCTGGGTCTCTGAGGAGGCTTCCGTCTGTCCCTGAAGCAGAGCTGAGAGCACACTGGCTTGCCTGGAGCCACAGCGGAGACCTGGCATCATGGAAAACAGGTGCAGAGATAACGCTTTCATTTAAAGACTGCGGTGCTGTTTAGAGCCACACGCCCAGTCCTGGCCCCCGAGGACAACAGTGCCTGGTTGGTGGTACTTTTAGCTCATACCCCTGGGCATACAGGTGCTGGCTTCGTGGTCCCAGCTGGCCAGGGTACAACTCAGTCGGGGACACGCTGGGATCCTACAAGCTCCCCAGGCAAACTCAGAGCAACAAATGCTCCTTGGCTTTGGAAAAACATTTATTGGCAAAAGTGGATTTTCTGTCTGACTTCATAATGTCACTGAAGCAGCAAATATAATTTTTTTTTTTTTTTTTTTTGCAAATACAGTTTTAAATTGGGAAAATCACCAAGGCTGCCCCTTTGGAGACACTTGCTTAGGCTAGGAGTTCTGTCATGGCCAGCATGGCAGGAGAAAATGTCTCTGAACACAGCAGCGTTTTAAAGGTGTCCTTAAATTTTTTATTTTATTTTATTTTTTATTGTTTTTCTGTCTTAGAGGGATCGTGGTAAGTTCAGGCAGAACGTTCTAGGTGCAGGTGGGACCAGAACAGTATCAGTAAGTAGAAGCAAGAGGCTGTGGAGGTCTGAGGTGGACAGGAGGCAGGCTTACGCCGTTAGGTTATTATTCACTGAGAGACAGCTCAATGCAGCTGTTTGAATCTTCTCTGATTCTTCAAATCTGCCTAGAAAGCTGCAGGCCGGGAAGCTGGCCAGCACCCTGGAAGACCCAGAGCAGATTCCTGATAGCTGGTAAATTGAAAGAAGAGATTTTCAAAACTCACTGACGGGACATTCCTATGTGTGTGAGAGACGGGCTGGTTCACTGTGAAGCTTTTGCTCCCATCTCTTTAAGTTATGGCTGTTGAGAGGATGTGTGTTTCTAGAGAAAGGTGGTTTTCCTTTCACACATCTAAGAAAGACTTCACTTGAACACGGATCTTTTCATTTGACACTTTTCCTTCTTTTAAAACTTAGAAAATACTTCATACACACCAAAAGAAAAAAAAATGTTTAAAAATTATCCTTGATTTCTGTCCCGCTCTATTTTTGCTTTGTGACTTCTCCATTTAACAATAAATTATCTAATACAGAAAGACTGAGGATGCTTTATTTATTCATTCTGTTGCTTTGACAAGCAGGGTCTCACTGTGCAGTCCTGGCTGGCCTGGAACTCACTCTGTAGACAGGCTGGCCTCAGACTCACAAAGATCAGGCAGCCTTTATCTCGCAGGTGTTTTTAAGTAAAATCATAATGTTGGGATCAGCAAAAGGAGGAAAGCGCTTCATCTTGAGATCCCTGCCTCTCCTGGGAGCAGTGCTCATTGCTAGGCCAGCAGTCTGCCCCACCGCCATGTCTCCAGCCTCTGCTTGCCTCTTGAAAAAAAAACTGACACATTTTTATTTGAGACAGGTTCCCACGTAGCTCAGGCTGGCCTCACATCTGCAGCCAAGGGAAACCTTGCATCCCTACCTCTGCGCCCTGAGTGTTGGGATTGCAGGCATGCACTGCCCCCTGCCCCCAGCTAGACATGACATTTGGGTGTTAATATGAAGGTGTGAGAAGCCTTTCTCAGGGGCCACGGGGCACAATTTTCATTAGGGAACTAGATTCCAGATTGGATGCGTACTCTTTCCTGATACTGAGTCTCCTGGGAATGTCATGACCTAGGGTACCAGGTCACCTCTCCCCTCATCCCCTCTCAAACTGCCTCTTCACAGGAGACATGCATGACTCAGTGGAACCCGTTGTTCTTTTCTCGGGGTACATGGCTCTGGGCTGGAACCCCCGCAGGCACCGGGCAGAAAACAGGAAAGCAAAACTTCCCATGGAGCCGGCTAGAGGCCTCATGTCTATGACATGGCGTGTCGGGGGCACAAGAACAAGGCTGTCCTCCTCACTGCCAGTATCCCAAAATGGGGTAGTGGAGGCAGTGACACCATCAACTCTAAAAGGAAAGCTTCACACAGTCTGATGAGGGAAATAAAGCCGCAACTTCCTCTTATTGTCTTAGGGGGCATAGCTGATGCCTCAGAGCAAACGATGATGGATTAGCCAGAGGAAAACAGGCTTTCTGATGTGGGGGCCAGCAGAAGTAACAACCTGAAGGGTGCCTGCACCCTTAGGCATGCTCCTGGGCGCAGGAAGCCTGAGCCTATAAGGCTAACCTGACTTACAAGTTGAGGACCCTGTTTTAACCCCAATGACACCCCAAATGTCCTAGGGGTTGGGGAGGTGCACGGCCTCCCAAGAGTTTAGAGCAGGATGCATGTCCCAAGCAGGGCTTGAGAGGAAAGAAGTCAGAGAGGGGCCTTCCCAGGTTTTTGTTTGGTCTTCTGGGACAGTTTCCAGGGGTAGCCCAGACTAGCCTTGAACTTACAGTGATCCTTCTGGCTCTGCCTTCCAAGTGCTGGAATTCCAAGCTCTGCCCTGGCTTTATGGTTTGCCCCAGACCAGAAGTGAAGGGAAAGAGTCAGTTGCTTCATAGCCTGCCTCAGTGGAGAGAGAGAAGGGTCAGGAGGGTCACCCTGCCTCTCCATTTCCTAGAGCCATGCCTATCGTGCCAAAGTGCCACATTTTGGGGTAGCATTTTCTGTGCCTCATCAGTCTTCTTGGGTAACGCCAAGAAAGGAGTGATAGGAAAGACTGAAATGGAGGCCCTTTAAGCCAGGTATGGTGGCTCAAGCCTGTAATTACTTCCCTTGTGAGGCGGAGGCAGGAGGTTCTTGAGTCCGGGCTTGGCCTGGAATGGATAGCCAGTTCCAGATCCGTCCATCTCAAAAACGATACAGCTTGGGGAGATGATTTAGTTGGTAAAGCTTTGCTGTGTATGTGTGAGGAGCTCCCCAGTACCCGTGTGAAAAGCTGGGTGCAGTGGTTCCCACATCTGTACTCCTAGCTCTAGGAGCCAAGCAGGACAATCCCTACAGCTCACTGGCCAGAAATTTGGTGACCCTGCCTCGAAAAAGAAGATGGAGAATTGACTGAGAAAGACACCCAGTGTCAACCTCTGGCCTGCACACGTACACACACACACATGAATAAACACACATGAATAAGTTTATAATAACGGACAAAAGAGCATGGAGGCTTAGAGGAGGCCGTTTTACAGAGACAGGTTGACGAGAGAACAGTCTAAACACAGGTGAAGACAGAATGAGCCAGAGAAGGAGCCAGAAAATTAGAACAGATTGCTAGAGTTAGTTTGAGGCAAAGCAGGGCAATTCAGTCAGAAGCTGAGAGAAGCCAGATTGAATCAGTCAGCTTGAAGCGAAGTTTTGAGCCAAAGCAGCTGAGTTGAACCAGGCAGCAAGAATTGATGAAGAACTAGAAAGGGTGATCTTATTCAGCCGAAAGTCTCAGAGGCTGAAAACAGCCAGGCAGTGGTGGTGCATGCCTTTAATCCCAGCACTCATGTGGCAGAGGCAGGTGAATTTCTGTGAGTTTGAGGCCAGCTTGGTTTACAGAGTGAGTTCCAGGACAGCCAGGGCTACACAGAGAAATTCTGTTTTAAAAAAAAAAAAAATCAGAGGCAGAAAACATTCCAGGCCTAGGTTAGATTGTACAGAGGTTGGAAGCTTTCAGGACTAGGTTAGTAGACTAAGGCAGCAAGCCTGGGAGACATTTACATTAGGCAAATAAAAGATACTTTTACAGCCTTCTGCTGCATTCCTGCTCAGATAAAAAGAAAGGCCCTGATCCTTATCTAGTTTCCTTTGAGGTATGACTCAGAAACAAATACCCAGGAATCTACAGTTTCATTCCTATGATTTTTTTCTAGTCTTTCCTATTATTTTAAGTGTAGGGGATTGAACTCAGGGCTTCACATGTGCTAAACTTATTACAACCTACCACAAACTGTGCCTCTAAAACTAAAATAAATCTTAAAATTGGAAGTAAAGTAAAAATGTCACTTGTATCATTTTTTTTTCCTTTACCAGTGAGATAAGGCAAGAAAAATAAAATTAACTTAGTATGATAATTTCAGCACTTTCAAGGCAGAGGCAGACTGACCTTGTGAACTTCAGGCCAGCTAAGGCTACAAAGAGAGATCTTGTGTCATAGGAGAAGGAGGAGGAGGAAGAGAAGCTGATGCAGTTGTACACAGCTAGCACTCAGGGAGGCAGAGGCAGGCGGATCTCTGTGAGTTCCAGGCCACCCTGGTCTACAAAGAGAGTCCAGGACAGCCAAGCCTACTGGCTTAAACCTCACCCCCACCCCTCCAAAAGAAAAAAAAAAATCTCCAGAGATAAACCACCACGAGAGGACTGCTCTTTTGATGGTAAGATTCTAATTCTTTTTCTTTTTTTTTAAGATTTATTTATTATGCATACAATGTTCTATCTGCAAGAGGGCACCAGATCTCATTATAGATGGTTGTGAGCCACTACGTGGTTGCTGGGAATTGAACCTAGGTCCTCTGGAAGAGCAGTCATTGCTCTTAACCTCTGAGCCATCTCTCCAGCCAAAGATTCTCATTCTTGCATGTCGGAGTGACGAAGCGTGAAGAGACGGCTTAGTGGTTACGAGAGCTTGCTGCGCTGAGGACTGAATTTTGGATCCCAGTACATGCATCAAGTAATTTGCAAGATTTCAGGAACACACACAAAGCTTTTCACTTATTTTTTAAAATATGTTCATTTTATTTTACACGTAAGTATTTTGCCTGCATGTATGTGTGTGCACCATTTTCGTGACTGGTGCCCCTGGAGGTCGGAAGAGGCTGTTGTATCTCCTGGAACTGAATTTACAGATGGTTGTGACCATGTGGGTGCTGGGAATCGATTCCAGGTCCTCTGCAAGAGCAGCAGGTGCTCTTAACTGCTGAGCTGTCTCTCCAGTCTGTAAAGATTTGTGTTTTAGAGGCTGGAGAGATGGCTCAGAAGTTAAGAGCACTTACTATTCTTGCAGAGGACCTAAATTTGTACCCATAACAGACACTTTGCACCTGCATGTAATTCCAGTTCCAACAAATCCAACACCCTCTATCCTTCATGGGCACCTGAACCAACACACATGATGGCCATAAACTCCTATACACACACACACATACATCAATAAAAGTATCTCTTAAAAAAAAAAAAAAGAATGTTCATGGCACGGAGCACGGTAGCACATGCTGGTAGCACCAGCGAAGGGGAGATGGAGGCAAGAGGATCACACGCAAGAGTTCCAGGCTGGTTTGCAACCTAAGAGTTGCATTTTTACTCTCTGTGGTGGTTTGAGTGAAAGTGGCTGCTAGCGGCCCATATGCTAGGTCCCCAGCTGGTGGAACTGTTTAATAAGGATGAGCAGGCATGGCCTTGTTGGAGGAGGTGTGTTATTGGTTTGCAGAATAACTCAGACATCCTACCCAGAAGTCTCACTGGAATGCCAGATCCTTGTGCAAAGAAGTTATGGAATCTGACTCTGTGCAATGAGTCTGCAGCAAGGAGGAACAGGATACACCTCACCTGGGACACCCCTCTCTAACGCCTTGTCTCCTCAGAGCTCTGCACCTGTCGTTCACAGCACACACCTCAGTGCTCATAGGAAATGTGCACACTGACCATCTCTAGGACACCAGCTCCTTCACGAAGTGTCAGGATGGATTGTGGGCCTTCAGGGAACAATTGTCTACTTCCAAGTGGTCTTTGATTTGATCTTTTGTGTCATTTGTGGGCTTTGAGGTTTGAAAAGCCCATGAGGTCCCAGCTAGTCTCTCTCTGCCACCAACTCGCTGGTAAGATGTAAGCTCATAGCTACTGCTGCAATGTCTTTGCCTGCCACCGTGCTCCCCGACCTGGTGGTCATGGGCTCGCCATCTGAAACTGTAAGCTCCCAGCTAAATGTTTTTCTTTTATAAGCTGCGTTGGTCATGGTGTCTCTTCACAGCAATAGAACAATAGACACACGGGGTTTGCGGTTCTGTTTTGGTTTTGGGTTTTTGCAGTGTTGGGGACTGGACTCAAGGCCTAACGCATGCTAGGCAAGGGAACGCACTGCCTCTAAATGGTGGGAGTGTGAATATAGTTTTTAGCCTCTACAGTATAGACGATGGATCGGCATGGAGTGTGAGTGGAAAGTTTCTATTTCCTTTTGCAAGCTGTTTGCACA